AAATACATTATATATATATATATATATATATATATATATATATAAAATTATGGAGAGAGCAAGAGAGAGAATTATACATAAATGGCTAATTAGATAGATAGATAAAAAAACAAACAAGAATCAAAATCCGTGGAAGTGCAATATTAAATTTTATATCTCATACACAATACAGAGTCCATTCGTTCACACATATAGTTCAGTCTGAGTTCTCAATGGCCAACTACTCCTTCGTCTTGCTCTCTATGAGTCCCAGCAGAGTGGCGTCCGCCTCCAGCAGCGTCGTATCGACGGAGGCTCCCAGGAACCGCGAGGTCATCTCCACATCCTCCAGCCTCAGCCTCACCCTGCTGCCCCGCTGGTACTTCTGTCCGTCCGCCGAGGGCCTCTTGCACACGCAGTGGAACTTCCCGCCGAAATCGACATACAGATCGTCATTGACGATATGAAAGATTTTCCCGACGACGATCTTGTCTTTGGCCGGACCCATCTGCGTGAGAGCGGAGCGGCGCAGGAGCGACGCGAAGGAGGTCTCGTCCCCGGAGCTCCGGTCGCCGCTCTGCCGCAGGTCCGAATGCTGCTCATATGCGGCTGCGAACCCGCTCTTCACCCTCTCGGCTGATTTACCATCTCCTCCGCTCGCATCGGAGCTGCATAATGATCTGAGCGTGGTAAAAACACAGTGTTTTGGTAGTAAAGATGACCTGGAGCTCACGTTGTACATCACCTTGCAGAGCGTCGCCATGTTGAAACGTCATAGGCACAGCAGAGCATGCTGGGAACATTTCAAAATAAAAGGCTGCAGGAAAATGTGGGATTTTCACTGGAAACGTGCCCCATGGTTTTATTATACAGTACAGTAGTATGTGTAGTAACCATGGTTTTTGGCGTATTGATTACCATTTGTATAACCACATATTTACTACAAATACCATGGTTAAACTATGGTTAATTTGTGATTACCATGGTATAACTATACTATAGTAACCATGGTCTTTTGGTTTTATTTGTAGTAAAACCATGGTTAGTTTTCGTAAGGGTGGGAAAATGTAAGATTTTCGCAGTGGTTTTGGATTTATGGTGCTCATTAATATGCAAAAATATACTGCTAATAATAAAATATTACATGTTGACAAAATTTATTGCTTCCTTCAACAAAATAAATTAGAATTGCAGCGTGGGTTTACCGTTTTAAATTTTTTGGAAATCTTTTAAGATAAAATAGCTTGGATATATAGCTCAATTTCTCTATTTGATGGTTTATTTTACTAGGATCAAAGAATGTGGGATTTGACAAGTTCTCTCGGCAAAGGGAGAGTATGCTTTAACAAGAGAAAAAAAGACAATAATTACTCGACTTCGAATAGGACATTCTGGTTTAAATCATTCATTATTCACAACAGGGAAACATCAGTCAGGATTGTGTACTACATGCAGTGAAGCAGAGACTATTGAGCATGCACTTTTACATTGTGCAGTATATACCAAAGAAAGAGAGAAGTTATTTAAGAAACTGAGAAACATAGGAGTAATTCATTTCACTATATCAAATCTTTTAAGTTGTGCCTCAGGACAGACAAGTATTATGAGAGAAATTCTTACTTATCTGAGGATAACAGGATTAGAAAGTAGAAATTAAATGTCATAATAATACTACCGGTTGGTTTATTTATTTATGGAATTTTTTTGTTTTGTTTGTTTTTTTGTTTGTTCCTTTTTCCCTCTTTCCCGTTAAATGCTTCACACTCCAGTCCAGTTGGTGGCGGTAATACACCATAAGTTGGCTTGTCAACCGCCATAAAATCGTACAAGAAGAAGAAGAAATTCTCTCGGCTTCCGTAGTTGCGTCAACGCAATTAATACTTCACAGATTTTTCCGGAAGTTTATAGGCACGTCTTCGAGAACAGAGGAGAAGAAAACATGGAGCTCTTTGTAGTTTCACCAAATGTGAGGTTTACTAACCTTACTGTCGCCCCGGGCTCGACTGTCAGCGATCTCATCGATCATTTTGCCGTTAAAGAGGTGAGTGAATGTGAGATGTGAAATCTGAATTGAGGATTGTGCTGTAACTCTCACTGTTCAGTTTGATTTTGATGATGAGTATTGTGTTTAAGACGACCTAAAATATGTCTTATTTCCTCTCAGGGTGCCTCCGTCGCGGATTTCTATGTGAAGAGTAATGGCCGCGTGTCTCACAGGAATGCCTCGCTTCAGTCTGGAGTTGTGTACCGTGTGGAGCCTCGGTTATGTGGAGGCAAAGGAGGTAAACAGACTCGCCCAGAACATCACTGTTGATCTTTTTTGAAGCCTGCAAATGTTAGAACATGATGGGTTGTTGATATTTGGCTAATTGTTATATGATAATATAATTGTTAGAGTATGCTCTGGTATAAATATGTCCCCATTTTGGACACATTTACAATTTGGAACTTATTAAAAGTATATATAAAATTCTGATAAGAGTTCCCTTAGGGTTTGTTTTTAATTTATAGGATGTATATAAAGTTTTGAGCATTTGAAAGTTATTAATAAAGGTTTTAAACTCATTTGTTTTGTAGGATTTGGCTCTATGTTGAGGGCCCTCGGTGCACAAATCGAAAAGACCACTAACCGTGAGGCCTGTAGAGATCTGAGTGGAAGGAGACTGAGAGACGTCAATCATGAGAAAGAGTACTGCTGATGATTACCGTATCCATTTAGCATGCTTTTTTTGATTATTGACTTAATTGACTGAATTGCTTTATGGATTTGGTGTTTTCTGCTCCACCATTAGGTCGTCTTATTGTGTGAATTTGTATGCGTGTTTGTAGAATGGCAGAGTGGCTGAAAAAGCAGGCGGATCGAGAGGCAGAGAAGGAGCAGCGTCGTCTGGAGCGGATTCAGAGGAAATTGGCCGAGCCTAAACATTATTTCACAGACACTGATTATGAAAAGCAGTGCCACGACCTCTCAGAGAGACTGGAGGACTCTGTGCTGAAAGGTAACTTGAACTCATTTTATGTATAAAATTACACGCATCTACGGTCTTAAAGTAGTGCTAGAGTACATTTACACAGAGGAGAATGATAAATAGCCATAAACAGCATTATTTACATATTTAGGCAGGGCTCGAAATTAACTTTTTTACTTGGTAGCACTGGTGCTCCCAACTTCAAAAAGTTAGGAGCACCAGCAAAAAGTTAGGAGCACTCACCAAAAATTTAGGAGCACCACAACCGTTACTAAGCAACGGGGTAAACAGCTGCTGGCTTAATGACGCAAACGAACCGCGGTTCGGACCCAAATAATATAATGTGAACACAGTCCAGCGGGGGGAGGGGGAGGGGGGGTGAGCAATCGAACTCGGGTTCGGACCAAGCAATCGAACCAAGTGTGAAAGCACCCTTAGTTTCACCCTAGTGACTGAAAGTTAAACCACTGCACCATTATCCCAAGGTCCTTTGAAGATTTGTTAAAAAAAATTATAATTTAAATACACCACCTAAATTCACTTGAATCACATTTTGAATCAGAATTTTTTTGTACTGAGATTAAAATTAGAGACTCCATTAAACTAAAATATTTCCTATATTAGGAATTATATAATATTTAATATTCTCATACTCACAAGTTCAAGTAATTTCACATTGCTTGATTTTATAGCCAAAAACAATAATACTAAATAATTAATAATAATAAATAATATTACAATTCTGAAAGTGATCTCTATTTCCTAGAAAGGTGTTATATAAAATTAACTTTAACAATATGTAAATTATATATTCAATATAATATATTTATTAATTAGTATTATCATTATTATAACAATATAATCGACAATTATAATTAATTAAAATTAATATATTATTAAATATTTATAATTATAATGTATTATTATTATTATTATTAGGTCTGAAATAGGGCTGTCAAATAAATTAATCATGATTTAACTGCATAAAATACAAGTCTGTGCTTAAATAATATATGTGTGAGTACTTACATTTGTTTGAAAGTGAAAGTGAAGTGACATGTGGCCAAGTATGGTGACCCATACTCGGAATTAGTGCTCTGCATTTATCCCATCCAAAGTGCACACACACAGCAGTGGACACGCACACACCGTGAACACACACCTGGAGCAGTGGGCAGCCATTTATGCTGCGGCGCCCGGGGAGCAGTTGGGGGTTCGATGCCTTGCTCAAGGGCACCTCAGTCGTGGTATTGAAGGTGGGAGAGAGTGCTGTACATTCACTCCCCCCACCTACAATCCCTGCCGGTACGAGACTCGAACCCACAACCTTTTGGGTTATGAGTCCGACTCTCTAACCATTAGGCCACGACTTCCCCATTTGTTTGAATATATAATATATATTCATATTTATATATGATTTATATCAAATAAATATAAATATATTTATTAAATATATACATGTATCTATGTGTGTGTGTGTATTTATATAGACATTAATATACACAGTAGGGCTGCACGATATATCGTTTCAGCATCGATATCGCGATGTGCGCATCCGGGATAGTCACGCAATGTTTAGTAGGCCTATACTGATCGTTATATTTATACTGATCGTTTTCTTTGCTCACACACAGACACCGCGTCTACACCGGACGCGACAGCTGTACAGAGATATCCATTTTTAAATAAATTTAGTAGCAGAGCTACTGCAAGTGATTTTCAATACTGGAAATCCATTTATCCTTTGTTGAAATATCCGCGTCGTCGAGGAGTGCGCAGGTCACGGTTGCTTAGCAACGGCAGACGCCACGAAAACGCAAGCTCCTTGGAAAGAAGGAGAAAGCGGTGCGGCTGGCGTTTTCAACGCTTTTTAAGCGCGCCATGTGAACGGCCCCAAAGTCTGTCTACACTGGACGCGACAAAGTGACCGGTGCCAAATATTTGAACTTTGTGTCAGTACGTCATTAAATAAAACGAGACATCAGTTTACTGTTGGGGATTGGTCATGTCGCGCCACATCCAGTGTAGTCAGTCACACAGCATCACTGATTATAATGGGTTCTATTGTATTTTGTCACATTGCGCCGCTTGCGTCTTCTGTAGAGTCTGTGAGAGCCATGCAGATGCACGTGAACACTGAATTCCATTCACTTCTGCTACTATTTGTGCCTGAAATTACACATATGCACGAAACTGTCAAAATGCATGTCTCTGCAAGTATCCTTGTAAAAAACAGTTGCTTATGTTTTAATTGAAGGTAAACAATTGAGAAAGACAGAGGATAACAATAACAGCAGTTTAATGTTCCTGTTGCTTTCTGTGTCATGTTAATCAAACAACAAAACAGAGAAAAATCACTTTTGTAGCTTTAACACAGATTTATTAGATTTATACAGTGAAGACTATGCAGTGTTATTAGACTTACCTGAAAAATATAAAGCACTGCTTATTTCATTTGTATCTTTGTTCTGTTATATTTATCTATGCTTGTAATTTGTTTATTTCCTATGCTGATTTACTCGCATACAAAATCACCCCAATCATTTATTTTTTTCCCCAAAATAGAGCTATTCAAGTCATCTGGTGAATCTTTTTTTTTCTTTCTTCATATCGCAATATATATCGCAGAAAAACAAAATATCACAATGTGAGTTTTTTCCAATATCGTGCAGCCCTAATACACAATATATTATGTAAACACAGGCTTTTATTTAGGATGTGATCAATTGTGATTAATTGATGTGACACCCCCATTAATATTGCATATTGGAAATATTCAAGTATGTTGCCCAAACCTAATTATTCTTGACAGTAAAGGTAAAAGTTGTCTATTCTTGCAGGCATGCAGGCTTCCTCTAGTGGTCTTGTCAAGGCGGACGAGGGGCCGAGTCGCAAGCGTCCGACACCAGCTGACAGTAAAAAGAAAGCAAAGAAGAAATGTTTCTGGTGAGCTGATTTAACCTATGTCAAAGAAAATGCTTATCTTGCTGACTAGAATCACTAAATTGTAACACGCATTCGTTTAATCCACTAGGACTGGCCTCGGAGGACTGGAGGAGATAGGCAGCTCTGGTGAAGGAAGTGATGACAGCGACAGCGAGGCTTCTCTGTCCACCTCTGGGGCTTCACGCAGTTCAGATGTTCCCAAACCGACTGTGCCGCCTTCTGCCACCAGGGGGAGTGACAGGACAGACCCTCAGGAGCAGCCCAGCAGCTCCAGCAGCTCCTCCTCCCAGAGTCCCGCACCGAGCTCCCCAACACAGGTGGAGAAAGAGGTGCAGAAGGAGTGTACAGCTGAAAGCAGTCAAAACCGCAGCATCAAAGAGGATAAATCCTCCCAGAATCCAGCACTGAGCTCCACAACACAGGAGGGGGAGGAGTTGCAGAAGAACGCCGAAAAGGAGTGTACAGCTGAAACCAGTCAAAACGGCAGCATCGAAGAGTATAAATCCTCCCAGAGTCCCGCACCGAGCTCCCCAACACAGGTGGAGGAGGAGGTGCAGAAGGAGTGTACAGCTGAAACCAGTCAAAACAGCAGCATCGAAGAGGATAAATCCTCCCAGAGTCCAGCACCGAGCTCCACAACACAGGAGGAGGAGGAGGTGCAGAAGAACGCCGAAAAGGAGTGTACAGCTGAAACCAGCCAAAACGGCAGCATCGAAGAGGATCAATCCTCCCAGAGTCCCGCACCGAGCTCCCCAACACAGGTGGAGGAGGAGGTGCAGAAGGAGTGTACGGCTGAAACCAGTCAAAACAGCAGCATCGAAGAGGATAAATCCTCCCAGAGTCCAGCACCGAGCTCCCCAACACAGGTGGAGGAGGAGGTGCAAAAGGAGTGTACAGCTGAAACCAGCCAAAACGTGGATAAATCGCAGGTTGAGCCCACAGAAGCACCAAGCGGCCCAGCCGAGAGCAGTCAGGCACAGGAAGAGGTGAGATGCCCTGCTTCTGAAGGGGATTTTCATGCTGGAAATGTTTTTTGGTAATACTGACTGACTGACAAGTGTGCAATATATATTAGGGTGACCATAGGTGCCATTTTCCCAGGACGCGTCCTGGCCAGGATTTCTATATTGCCTAAAATATCTAGGTTTTGGCTTTGTTTGCGTGTGCAGACCGATCGGTGTATCACATCAAAGTACCATACAGACGGTTACGCTTTCGAAACGCTCTCGAGGTACTTTGATGTCAAACACTGATCGGTCTGAGCCGCACTGCTTTTAAGTCGAACACACCTAATATGTACGCGTAATTGCATCGCTTTGACCGTAGATCCCACCTTCTCACACGCCATGATTGGTCCATTATGTACAATGCTTGCATGTTATTGGTCAAACTACTTTTCGATCATTACCTTCAGCAAGCATGAAAACAGGAAAACAAAGCCAAAACAAATCCTGGCCAGGGAAAATGGCACGTATGGTCACCCTAATATATATCGTCTGCGATTAATATCGTAATTGTTGTTTTAATGATGTGTGATTTGACATTATCGAGTATTTTGCGAAAACCATTCAAAACCGCCCAACAGAGTGCACGCATGAAGTCTAGACTAATGCGCGTACGCATTTAGAGCGTGTTCTTGCACTGCATGATTCAGTCTAATAAAATGCATTTAGAATGATCACAAATTCAAGACATGGGGGCAGAAAATGTATATATTTATACCACTTCATATAGTTAATCAATTTCACACGAAGAGTGCCGTTTTTTTTTTCTTCCAAAAATTACCATGATTACTAGGGATGCTCCGATCGATCGGCCGGAGATCGGTATCGGCCAATAATCATATTTTATGACTCGATCGGTACTCACCAACTTGGCCGATCTCAGGAACCG